TTTTTTTTTTTTTTTTTTTTTTTTAATAAAAATTCAATAGGCATGCCATAAAAAGAAAAAAAAACACGCACATTAATTTGATCAATTTTTTTACGGTAAAAGAAAACTATGGTCGCTGATTTTTGATTGATGCGACGAAACATGAAATTCGTTCATTTGCATTATACTTACGTAATCGTGCCATCGCGTCATCAGAAAAGCCTCTCGTCTGATTTTCTTCATCGGGAATGAAATAATCGATATTCATGCAGTGCGTCTCCACGGGACTCAAATAAGTCTCGACTGCAACCATAAAATATACAACATATAAGTGAAATATATCTATATTTATAGCGATATATAAATTTATAAGACAGTGTATTAAGATAGCTAATAATTTATAAATAATTAAAAAAAAAATCGTTTTTTATATTCTTTATATAGTGTCAAGAAAATTTATATCTTCGACACACTATATGTACCTTCGTGTTTGCAAGAAATTTATTAATATTTTTAATAATGCTAAAAATTGGATGTATATTTTTCAACTAAATACCGCTCTAAAATTATTTTACAGTAATACATTTCCTCAAAATATGCATTCTAAGTTTACGAATCGTTCATCTGTATTTATAATTATAAAAAGTAAGGCGCGCGCAAACACACACATTTTACGAAGAGTGACACTTAATTGACTAATCATTGCAAACAATGTTCTCGTTTCATCGACCGCAATACACGCAAATTAGCTCATCTAACTGCTGATTACGACATTCAGCATTGAGGTGTACTGCATTCTTTAAGCGAAATAAATGCGGAACTCAAGTGAATCGCGAAATAACACATCATACCTGCAAAAATGACGATGACGCAATCTATTCGTTTATCTAATAAGTTTCTTTTCTATGAAGATTTTCTCACGCCACTATGAAACACATACCAGGCTATCTGCGTATATTTTAATAATATCCTAAAAATATCCTATTGCAATATTTTTGCAATGGCTACGTCATGTTTATCACACGTTTATCATAGATAGTTTGGATAGATGGTTGATTATCGCAAGTATGTATATATTTACTTATTCTTCGGTTACGTAAACAAAGGCGCCTGAAGGATCTTTTGAAAACGTATCCACTAGATATCCTTACGATCGTATTTCGCTACATGAGGAATTACTACTGGGATTTATCAGCACTCCCGGGTCCCACAGCCCCGCCGCGTCAACGAGCGCGCGCGTCTCGAAAAGCATGCGACCCAGAATGCAGCAGGCGCTATCACCGGGTGCAAAGTGTGTGGTATGCTTTTACTCGTACGTGAAGGAAGGCTCGTACGCGCGAATGCGCGTTCGCTCTTTTGCAACGGTACTTTTTTAGCGAGTCCTAATCTACAAAATGCCACTTTCGAAAGATGTCCTTGCGCGGAGGAAAAAGTTGTCGCAAAGTGGCCATGCTTTCACAGTCTCCTCCTGATTACATGTCAGACTGAAGCGCCGAGACAAACGCAATGGCACTGTCTGTCACCTTCAAAGACCCTTTTGGGATGTTTAATCAGTTGTAAAGGATCGTTATTTCTAAACTTTGACATCGGTAAAACCCTGTTTATCCGAACTGAAGGGGGCGGAGCCCTTTCGGACAACCTTTTTTCCGGATAATCCATGGAAACTATTATCGGCAGTTAAAGAGTAGAAATGAACTGACAGTATGTATTACAATATGTATCTAACATACTCAAAGGGCGGCCGACAATGTGGCGCCAAAGATATAAGCAAAATATGAATTAGTTACAAGACTTTTAAGTATCTAACGTCTGTCTGTCACGCACACAGCTTTTTCTTCGCCGTTTCGGTTAAGCCGGGTTTCGGTTAAGCGAAGTTCGGATAAACGGGGTTTTACTGTACATATCACTCGATCACTCAGCGAAAGCAAACTTTTTAATTTCAAACTGTGAGATGAATTTTTTCCTCTTTTTTTTTTTGAGCTGTTTTTATTTCATTTTGATCAAGTGAAAGTCTATTGGAAATAATAAACGGGCCTGAATGATTTCTTAAATCGATTCAAGTTTTATAGTTTCGTTCAAAGCTCTTAAACATTGAACTAATAACTTTTATTATTTATTTTCCAGAATTATTGAGGACATTATACATCCTCTTTCCATTCTCTTTCAATCCTGAAGCCTATACATTTATTATCAGCTAAGAGCATTATTCTATCTCAGGCTAGAACATCATACAAAATTCTCTCATCATGTGGAAAGGACAGCAGTGGTTTTCCCAGAAATACGTATTTCCGGAAATACGATTTTACGTGGTCGAGAGCTGTCCGTAGTAAAACAAACCGCTTGACGTGTTTGAGATTCAGACGACAGCTGTACGGCCATTTTCTCGACCCTCTTCGAATCTAGTTTCGCCTAAACGAGGCGTTGTGCCAAGATCGTTGACTCGCGCCTAACTGTACACGCGCTATATTCTTCACCATTCCGGAAGAGGAGTCGTACGGCGTCGGTGGCGAGCAACCACGGCAAGACCCTCCTCGTACTTTTCATCGCACATTGCGCATCGCGCGCGGCCTAGCGCGATATGAGCGCGATACCAGAAGGCAGATAAAAGCCGCCGGACCGGTCGTTGACTGGTTTCTTCAAATTTTTCAAGCGTGCACTTGCGTCCGTACGTCTGACCTCAATTTTCGGTACTGGCCGGCGTGACGCTAGTCACATAATGTATCAAAATATAATAAAGCCTTTCACAAAAATCCCACAGGATAAAATATTCCGAAGATATTCGGCGAATCTAAGATGTAGATATCTTGATCTATATATATAATCAGGGGATAAATGTTGAATACACCTGATGTGATTTATTACTCGCTCATTAGATGCTAATTAGATAGGAGACTGATGGGAAATCCTGAGTAATATTAATTGAGAGTAATGGAAAAAGTTTCTCAGAGATCATTAGAATATAATGTGTTTGTAAAAGTATGTTTAATATTCCATGAAACTCTTTTTTACATTTTGTTTTACACAAAATTTTGCAAGAGATAACGTTATAAAATGTTTGGTACGAAAGAAATGCGAGTTCTCTTCTGTTGAATTATATATACATATTTTTTTTAAATTATGCTTCATACTGATTGCGCGAGACCACCAACGATTTGTTTGGGTTTTTTGCCGCTGTAAAGATGAGGGTCAGGCTCGATCACGCACGCGTAATAAATCGAAGTCGCCGGAAACGGGTCGCCGGAAGAAAACGGCACACCAAAACCGATAAGGCGTCCTCGGCGTCGTCGGTCGGCGAACGGTACCGGCGATGATACGAGCGATGCATCGATCATTTCGATTATTTTCCGGCCGAGCGACGAGAACAAACGCGGAGGAAACCTTTTACACGCGCTCTCGCCCAACCATTTCTTCGCTTCTGCATTGCGCGCGGATCGTCTGGCCGATAGAATCGATTCTCACCGATCCGGCCTCGATACGCTCTCGCCTTTCCTCGCAATTTCTTCTGATCTCACGATCCTGCCGAACAGGTACCACGTACCGTCACGAGCGTAGTTTCGTTCGCGACGTCGATGAGAAAGCATTGTCTTTGTATTTCCAGGATCCGCTATTCAGCGGCCGATCGCTCATATTATCCGAATTAGATCGCTTATTTCGATCGTTAACCCTGGTGTCGTCTGTTGCAACGGTTATTCTACACTTTAGTTCTCTGGAGAACAAATATGTGCACTGGAAAAAAATTTTTGTTGTATTATAAGAAATTCTGGTTGATTCTACTAGTACGTTTGTTCAAAAATGGACGAAACAAATTTATTGTTGGAATTACCAAAAGATTCTGTTAAATTTCATCCTGTTTAAATCTATTAGAATTTCTTGTAAACCTTACTACATCGTGTTGTTAGATTTACAAAACTCTACCAGAATTTCTTGTAAACCTTACCACATTGTGTTGTTAGATTTACAAAACTCTACCAGAATTTCTTGTTAACTTTACTATATCGTTTTGTTAGGTTAACACAACTTTGTAGTTAAAAAACAAGTTCGAATAGGTGTGGTTTTTGTAAAATACTAACAATATATTTTGGTTTAAAGTATACTCAGTGATGTGATGTTTCCTACCGGGCTCCCGGCTCCCGAGCCCGGTAGGAAACATCACATCACTGGTATACATATATTTCATTAAAAAAAAAAACATCACGTGATCATAAAACTTTTCGGATGTAAGGCTGATGGCAGAGACCGAGACGTAAGAACTTATGTATGTCGTAGTCGTTTCCATACGTATTTACACAATAACCTTTCACGACTTACGTTTTTCTCTGCCTTACCATACGTCCACGACAGACGTCTACGACAGACATAAGTGCTTACTTCTCGTTCTTTGCCATCGGCCTAACTAATGTATTCCGTAATGGATTCCACGACGCGATGTAAAACTTTAGCGAGCTCAATTGAGACTGTTCCGACTGCTTAGCACCATTGCTTCGCGAAAGATCTAATGCGCGCGATTCACGCCGCGAGTAGCGAGGGCGCAGTAGCAGTGTAACAAATTAATGCGGCGAACAGTTGATCAACCGTTTAGTGAGTGATGACGAAACTGTTGCAGAGCGCTGCGATTTATGTAAATATAACAAGAAGTTTGTAGATCCAACAAGAAAACACTTATTCAGATCCTTATAGTAAAGTTAACCAAATGGTGTTGATATAAGGTGTAAAATTTTGTGACGATAACCAGAAATTCTGTTTTATTTGACTAAAATACGGTCAACCAGAAGAATTTTGTTAATATAATAAAACCATTTTTTTCAGTGTGGTTTCGCAAAAAATCGATTTGATTGAAAAAAATCCAGAACAGTCTCATTTTCTTTTTCAGTTAAAGATATAAAATTTTTCAGAGCTTTTTTTTAAATTTTTTGTAAGTACGGCTTTACATAACGTAATAATTCTTGTAATAAAATGTCAAAACTAATATCTTTTTTATAAAAAAGATACAGTATGAATTGTTCGTTATGAGTTGTTCGTTTCATACAGTATGAAACGAACAACACCAAAAGTAACAAGTCACAATAAAAATCAATCCAGACAGTCAGAAAAATTAAGTTGCCATGTCTGACACACGAGGAAAAAGCAAGGGGTGGACAAAAAGTTCGTAAAAATGGACAAAAGAGACCTACACCAAAAAAACAACCAGTTTAAATTTTGACTAAGAGACGCAACAAAAATTAGATTCGCTGAAGAAGGCCCAAAAAAAGGTGCCGAAACGTTCGACAATTAGATGTAAGATATACGACAAACACATGTAAAATATATTAATAAATAGCACCTAGAACAAGCTAAGGCTCAATAAATAAGCGTGTATCACCATTTTAAAGTTTTAATTGAAAAACTGAGCCTAATTAAAAAATTCTTTTTATAATTTAGAAAAATATTTGACGCCAAAAAATACCATTAATTATGGTTACTGCTATTGTTGTTTTTTTTCAGTGTAAGATAAAGTGTAAAAACATGCAAAAGATAAAATTATTAAAAATTGCTAATAGTATTTAGTAAGATAATAATATTGTCGTGCTGTATTGTATACAGGGTGATTCAAAATAACCTGATGTCCTCGCAATGCCATATTCTTGAGCGAATTCTAAGACGATTTTTCCTTTTACAAAATTTTGTCCGAAGTTTAGTTTTCGACTTATAATTGAAAATAGTTTACTACTTACGAGTCCGATACAACGGACAGACAGGGACGGACAATGCGTCATGAGACGATAGTAAACACTTGACAGTCTCATTATACGTTGCGCGTCCCTGCCTGCCCGTTGTACCGAACTCGTAAATTGCTACCTATTTTCAATTATAACTCGAAAACTAAACTTCAGACAAAATTTTGTAAAAGGAAAAATCGTCTCAGAATTTGCTCAAGAATATGGCATTGCAAGGACATCTGGTTATTTTGAATCATCCTGTATACATGACAAATTTCATATAATGTTATCAAATACGTATTAAATAGTGAAAAATATCGTTTAGAATGAAAAAAATAAATATAGAAGTTGTAACTAGAAAGTAATCCGAAAAACATCCAAAATAAAAATATTATAATGTTATATTTCTAATCAGTTATGATATCTATTGTCAAATACAGTGGGCCCCCGTATAATACGTTCTATATTATACGAATTACATATGTTAAACATATCGCACATCTGCAAGAAAAGTAACACAAGTCGCAATTTTTTGAATATTATTTGATATGCAGATTGTGTTCTAAATATGTCAGCCTTTAATTAAGAAAAATGATATAAGTTAATTCGAACACTTTTCGCCTGAGCCCGCTAAGTTTACATAATACTGCTGTAAATAATTGATTTTAAAATTATTGTTTAACGAAGCATAGACATCGGAAATTATTTTCCGTAAAATCAAGCTAGCCTCAAAAGATTGATAATTTGCGACAAAAACCAATTTATAATATTATTAATAAGAAGAGTTATTATTAACTCAATTTCTTCTTTCCACCCTTCTGAACAATTTTATTTTTTTATCTTATGTCACTGTTGTGCGATATATGGATTATGTATGCATATGGAAACACATATTTATAAAAGATGTAAAGATTATATAAAGTAATAGATGTAAGTTATTATAACAAATGTAAAGAGAATAATAAAAACGTAATTTTCATGCGGTCAGTTTCGAATGTAAAAATGTAAACTTATTTACCATGCTATACGAGCCTGTTTTATCGTGTTATAAGAGCACGGCCAAAATTTCGTATCGTGTTATACGAACTCGTGTTATACAGGGATCTACTGTACACGCAAGCAAGCTACATGCGCAGTTAATTTTCACTTCGCAGAAATAATAATAAATTATTAAACATGAAGTGATCAATGCTGTACAAAGTACAAAATGTAAAAATTAAAAGAACTTATTGATACAGTTATTTATTCAGAAAGAGATTTGAGAAAATAAAGTTGTATTTATCGTGCTTTATAAACTTTCCTATAATTAGAAATATTTCGTTTCTGATCACTTATTTACATATCTTAAAATCGTCAATTAAAATGCAATGGTACGTGAAAATTAACAATTTTGTAATAACAATACAGTTAATATTGCTTTACTCACAAATCCGAATGCCAAAGATTTATAAATCAAACTGCGATTCTTTGTTAGCTCCGAGAAGTCTCTGAATACTAAGAAGCATATTCTTAACTGATATAATATATATAGTATATCACACAAACAGTTGCCAAGAGGTCACTCAATAAGAAAACACTTTACTAGTCGATAGAAAAGCGCGCAAATTAAGATACATAATCAGTTAAATATGTATTTAAAAACCAAAATTGTATAGTTTTTAGTGACCAACAAACAATATTGTTAAAGTGTAATACTTATAAGTCTATAAAAAATATTAATTCTGCCTGTAAAATTGTATTAAGTTATTATGCAGTCAGACGTTTAAGATTGTAAATCTAACGGTACATTAGATTTATATACTAAATTTATGCAACACACAACAGTAAAAAATGAGAGAATTACTTAACTGAAAATAAGTAGTTAAGTTTCAATGTAGTATAATATTAATATTTTACATTAACAGTTTTTACGTTTTGTGAAAACAATAAAATTATTATTTATAAGAAAAAATTAAAAATGCAAAAAACAAATTTCCCAATAATAAATTTGTAATAATTACTATCGTATCTGTTAGAAATTTCTGTTATATATCAAAATGACTAATATATTTGAATCTAAGATATTCTACTGAAATGTTTAATTTGTGGACGTAATCAACAATTTGAATTCTGTCTGTTTACTAAAAATATATCTTAAGATCGTAATTACTTTTTATTACTAACATGGCCGTATTATTTAGGAGACTAAATAAAAAGAACCAATACAATAGGAATGTGTAAAAATGTATTTTGTGTTATTATCGTTATTACATAACATGTATCAAAATTTCTCTCTACATTATCCCGTTTTCTTATTGCCGATTACTTGATTTTAGTTGTATAGGTATGTAAATTAAATTAACAAGTAAGTTTATTATTGATTGTAAGTTTTATTATTGATCAATTGGTTTATATTATATTTTACAAGAATAAAATCGAGTTGTGCGTGTGTGTGTGCGTGCGCGCGCGCGCGCGCGTGTGTGTGTGTGTGTTACTGTAAATGTGAATAATTGGTTATTATGCATAAGACATTAATTATACATAATTACCAATAGTTACGGTAAATTTAATAAATTTCTATGATTATCGCTCAATGTATCATATTTACCGGTTATTATGAATAATTGCCAAATTAATTAAATTTACAGTAACATATACAAGAATATACATAAAAAACTTGTACATGTTTACAGATATGAAAATATAAGTAATAATATTTTTATTTATAATTTTAAATACGTATCCAGACAACACGCGTGTCTTAAAGACATTTAAAAGACGTTTGAAAAATGATAATCTCTTTCAGAAATCTTTAAAACATTTGTGTTGTCTGGATGGTCACAGTGGGAACAAAAGGGTCTATCAAATCGGTAAAAGAAATCATATTCGGCTACTAGTTATAAATTAAGCATTTTGGAAAAACAGTGATTTTTTCTAGACGAAACCTAGATGTACTTTTGTCACCAAGAAATACATATTAACTAAAGAAATAGTGAGTTCGAAATATCGACGATTGCAAATAATGAAAAATCGCACACCATATAATATGATAAAAACAACTTTCAGTTCATGTCTGACAGCTATGTTTTTAGATTTTCCATATAAGTTATTAAACATATTAAACACAAATATTTATATTACTTTCCGTCCTACTACTTTCGATATTTAAAATTTTTTGGCATAAGCATAGAAATATTCAAAATATATTATTTTATTCTTGACAAAAATTATTTCCTTGCAAGTTACATTGCATTTTCTCAAACACATTTTGTACATCCGAGCCGAGATTTTTTCAATGTAGACTGTAAGGCATTTAAAATTCTCAAATAATTTTCTGTACTTTTTTTTATTGTAAACCAAAAAAGACACATATTTACTTTAACAAAAATTTGCAATCTAAGAAGAAATAATTAAATTAAATAAATAATATTTAAACGCACGTAGACCAACAACCCCATAATTTTGAACTTGTTTTCCATACTCGTCTTTTCGTGTTTTAATTTTCCTTTCAACAGCATCAACTAGTCGCTTTTCTTTCAAATTAGTTTTTACGAATTCAAGTACCTAAGACAAATTCGATAATATCAACAAACCTAAAATATTTTCGCACTACAGTTTATGAGAGCATAAATTGTTGTGTTAAAGGTAATCGGTTGAGATATGACATGCATGTACATGAGAAATCAAATAAAAATAAGCTCAATATTTAATTA